CTTGTCAAAGATTCCTAACCCTACTGATATTCGCAATTTCAGTGAAAGGCCATCTGAAGGGTTATCTAATACTGTTCTCCTCCACCAATCCGATGTATTGCGTGTTGAGAAGGATGCTAAGGTATGTTTGGAAATGTATATATATCTTTCACAACTCCCTTTTGCACAAAAACACAATTAATGATGCATTTTACTCTTGCAGTTGTCCGTCAACTTCACAGTTACTCCAAATGAAGACATTGTCGAAGATGACTACTCATGGGACAACGAAATTACAGACCCAAGTGTTAGACTTGATTTTGGAGTTAATACAGAGGAACCACCTGTGGAAGCCTTCGGATTGGTCGGTTGTAGATACATCTCCCAGCTGTGGAGAGGAAACAAAGCATGTTCTTCAAGGTCAGACCACGAACACCACTAAAAGAGAGGACGTAGTACCTTGGGCCAAGCTAATCCGTAAACCACCAGTCAAGAAATCTGCAGCAGTAAAGGGGAATCGTGGCAGAGTTCCAACTAGAAGTCAAGATTGTACAAAAGATACTGATGATGTTGAAGACTTTAACTTTGGATGGAATTAATGTTTTGAAAGAATTTATTCTCCAGCAGTATGGACTTCTTTTTTACTGCATTATGGGCGAGCTAAACAAACGTTTTCCACTTGGCAAATCCCTTGTTTTTGATCTACCTCCTACTAGCCCACCAAATCTTAGACGGTCTGGGAGGTTGAAATCCAAATACAAGAAACTTTAGGTTAAAAATCTTCAAATACATATTACTTTGATCACAAGAAACCAATTTTTTACCCCTAACAAGCTAATGATTGTCATCTGTACAGAGTTCCAGTATGGTCCTTCGCATTCAGTCTCTGTGGTGGGTAAAGCCAGGTTTGATAGCTGCGACGGAAGCGGAGCCACGCAGAGCTTTTCCGATGGAGACACTATGTTCGATCTTACAACAGTTGGAACAATACATTTCCTTTGCCCTACTCCTGGTCATTGCCTCAGTGGCATGAAAATCGCCGTTTCCGTCCTCGCCGCAGCTCCAACTCCGAGCACTCCTTCTCCACCGTCTTCCCCAAGATCGCCACCGCCTTCTCCACCGTCTTCCCCCAAATCGCCACCATCTCCACCGTCTTCCATTCCTTCTCCAAGTAAACCACCGACTCCATATGCTTCTCCGCCGACGGAGTCAGATTCTCCATTGACGCCTCCACCACCACCAAACGCGGCGTTTAAGGGAGTCATGAGCTATGGAGTGATCGGAGTCACGATGGTATTGATGTATGGTGCTATATGAGCTAAATTAGAGGGTTGAGACAGAGCTTTTTTTGGTCTAGATCTTTGTCTTTGGAAGCATTTCCTCACCAACACGGTATCATTATCATCATGTATGTTCTACACGATTATTGAGTAAATTATTAAATCATATTCTATTATTTTGATTTATTAAGATGTCATGTGAGACAATTCTTGTAATTCAGCCGGAGCTGAATTAAAACAAACATATTGTTTCTTTCTTTCATAGCCAAGACAAATTTCATATGTTTATGAAGCATTTGAGTACTTTTGTAACTAAATCATTGTTCCCTATACATATTTTACAAACAATTAAATTTGAGGAAAAGTTTGAGCTGATTGCACATGGTTAGTTCATCATTTACAACAAAAACAAATGAAAAGAATCAAGAATTGGTAAACGTAAAAAATGAGTTTGAAACAA